CTGCTGAGCCGCCTGCAGCACAGACAGGTTGTGGGGCCGGCAGGTCTGCTGAGCCGGCCGCCTCATGCTTCTGCCGCAGCGCCTGTCTGAGCACTCGGTGGTCGCTCTGCAGCCGCAGGCGCTGGTTGTACAGGCTCTTCTCGGTGAGATGCTGGATCTCCAGCAGCCCCTGTACGATCTCGAACACAGTGCCATCGAGGAGCGCCAGGGCCAGGTCACTGAGTGTGGTGTAGGACAAGCGCTGCTGGAACGAGCTAGAGGTAGAGGAAGCGTCAACTGGCCGCGGTGGTGGGAGGTGGGGGTGTCCTCCACCCGGTTACCGCCCACCCCATCCCGGCTCGCACACCTCGGCAGCTCCTTGACCAGGCTCTGCAATGCTGACAGCAGTTGGTAGTGTCGCTCCTGCTGCCGGGCGCCGTCCGTGGCCTCCTCGAAGGCGCCCGGGTAGCGCTCCATCTCGCCAGCGCCACGCCCCCCCACCCCACCCCCGGCCCCAGCGACGCGTCCCGTGTCTTTTACGTCATCGTAAGCGCGGCGCCTTCCGAGTCCGGACCACACATCCCAGGGTTCACCTCGCCCTTTTACGCCCTTTTACGTCAGTAAGTGCAGCGCGTTCCGAGCCCAGACTACACATCCCAGGGCTCCTTGTGCTCCTTTTACGTCAGTCGTAAGTGCTCTGCCTTCCGAGGCGGCCGAACCACACAATCCAGGGCTCACCGTGTCCTTTTACGTCATCCGAAAGCTCGGCGCGAACCGCCCAGCGCCTCTTTTACGTCAGTCGGAAGCGCGATGCTTTCAGAGGGCGTGTTGCGTTGTCGTCCCCGTGGGCGGTCCTGCAGAGCCCCGGGCCGCCTTGTTCAATGCAGTAGGTTGGACTTCTACCTGCACCTGTCGGTCTGAGGCAGCCACGTTCTCTGACAGGTAGTTTTCCAAAGCGCGCTTAGCTCACAGAGCTGCAAAAGCCCAGCTTCCTCAACTCCAGGACTTTGAGCCATTTCCAGCATCCTTTGGGCCTCGGTCTTACAGTTATTATAAAATACCCAGTCAACGGCGCGCTTGTGATAATTATGTGCTGTAGTCTATGTCAGCGCTGCCACCTCCAGGTATGATGCGGGGCTAGGTAAAAGCCCAAAATGGTCAGGGGGCCAGGCCACCCCTAAGGTCAGGGGTGCCCAGCCACTGAGTCTGGAAGCCTTGGCAGAGGCGGTGCAGGGAGGGACTGCAAAATCATTGGTTTCCGAGGAAGGAGGGAGCCTTGCCACTTAATAGTGAAGAAAATGCAGCCCAGACCCTCACCCCAGCCTTGAGAATAAACTTCCTGACATCTACACTTTTTGTGAGCAACAAAGTACAGAATAGCCTGCAGGTTATTCTAGGAGGAGGGAGAAGTAAAATGGATAAATAGTATCATGCCAGCCACATCTTCATAGGAGGAGTTATGACTCCGCCTCAAATGAGGGAGTAAACAGTATAGCAAATTGTCGCAGCAGGGAGAATCACAAAGCAAACAATCGGTGTGATAGACCTAAGGGAACGCTGCCAAGCGGGCCAGGAATGAGACTGCAGAATTTTTAGAGCACAGAGGTATGCGGATCTCCAGGGGCCTGTGTAGAGTCAGGTCCAAGGAATGAAGCCCCCCTGATTTAGGGTTACTACCTGCTGTGTCCCTGCCTACACCTGGGCTCCAGGGTACAGTAACTTGGCTCCAGGAGTGCAAAGTGAGGCTACAGGACAGAAGGAAGACAGGTGGCCAGCAGGGAGATAGCAGGATACAGACATCAGGTGGCTAGTCTGTTTGTGTAAGACCCTAAGGGACTTTAGTAGATAGGCATAGTTATTCCCTCAGTAACTGTACCAGGGGTCCCAGAGGGGAAAGAGGTCAAGGATCCGAACCTAGAGCAACCTCAGTCTCTATTAGCCTCCCATCTCAGACTCTAAGGCTTGAGAATGGTTGGCATGGATATGTCTGGCCGTTACCACCAGGTCAGGAGTGTGACAGCAGACCACACTGGAGCTGCGGCGCTCCTGTGATCATAGAGACTTGTCCTCTTCTAGCCTCAGGCCAGACTTTATGTCCCCAACTCCCTTGTTCCAGGTGCCCCTGCCCGCTGGCTTGTGCCAGCTTCCGTGCTGAGCGTTGAGGACCACAAGTAACAGCCACACAGCCCCACACATGTTCTAGAAGGCTCATTCTGATAGCATGGTAGACATGGTTTAGAAAGGACAAGATTGGAGGCAGAGAGATTCTAGGCCCGCTAGTCTACTATGGGTGAGACGTGTTGGTGGGCTGACCAAGTGTCCAAAAGAGGAAAAGAAATGAAATAAAGAAGGAAGAACTGGTAAAACTATTAATTAGGGATAGAGGAGTAAGGAAGATAGTCAAGGAACTATTTTTCAACTTCAATCTGGGGATACCTACCATTTCCTAAGACCAAGCAGTTGAGAAATGGAGCAGCTATGTTTAGCTGGGGTTAGAAGTTGTTTGTTGTTTTGGTTTTTTTTTTTAAAGTAGTTTTATTACACTGAGGAATTCCTGGGATACAGTTAATGGACTCTGGCTAACCCAAAGGTTGATGGTTCAAAGCCACCAAGAGGTACCTTGAGAGGAAGGCCTGGCAGTCAGCTTCTGCAGGATAAATTCTTGGAAAACTATGGAACAAGCATAGTTTTGCTCTGACATATCCCATCCATAAAGGGTTGTTGGTCTTGGGTTGTGTTGACCACTGAGCACATGCTAACTGCTTAGGCCTCTTTCATGCCATGTTTTGGTGTCACACAGGAGGGAAATGTGTGCATCCTTTCTGTGCACCAGAAGCTCTCTGTGCACTTAGCACCTTACTCCAAGGTTTGGAGACTTTGCCACACTCAGCAGTGATTGTTGATTCCTGTGTACCGTCAAGTCAGAACTGACCCTCCAGCAGGGTTTTAGAGGCAGTACATTGTGTGGGAAGAGAGATCGCCCATCTTTCTCCTGCAGGGCAGCTGGTGGATTTGAACCACATATCTTAATATTGCCAGTGCAGTTGCTTACCACTCTCCACCAGAGCTCCCTCGTGAGTCCTAGCAGTCTGGAAAGTCCGCTGCTCCAACATTTCACCATCTGTTACAGAAATCTAGGCAACTGTTACACAGTTGGTGTTATGTGGCATCGGGGTTTGAACAACAGAAAAGAACCAGCTCAGAGCTGACCCTCCAGTGGGTTTTCAGAGGATGTAAATCACACAGGAGGATATTGCCCATCTTTCTCCCACAGAGAAGCTGTTGGATTTGAGCTGCCTATCTTGGATTTTGTCCCTCCATGACTGACCCCAAAGTTATTGTTGTTGTTACGTGCTGTTGAGTCACTTGCGACTCATAGCGATCCTATGTACAACAGCCCTAAACCCTGCTCTGTCTTGTGCCAATCGCACTGTCTCCTACACACCCACCCTGATTACCCCAGTCACTGAATC